CCTCCCCCTCCCCCTTCTCTCTCTATCTACATCTACCTCGGCCTCGTCTTTCTCATTCACACCCAGAGAAAGAACACTACCCCCCACACACTTCCGCACTCAGCCACGTGCATCACACTCCTCCACAATCACACGACGCACATCTCCGTGCACTGCCCCGCTGCCGAGTTCCTCGGCTTAGCACCCAGCCCAACACCGCGTCACCCTCTATCAACCCCCGGTAGTGGCCACGCGCTGTCCCCACCCTCGTCCCGCCCCCCTCTCGAACACGATCGCGGCGCGTCGAGCTCTCACTTTTATCGCATAATTGTCTCATCTAGAACATCTAACGTGAGTCGTCTTTGGTGCGGATTGGTCAGCGTGCAAGTCAAGGCAGCACGATGAGAACGCCCGTCAACGATGCAGCGCGCAACACTCTGTGATTGAATCGGACTGGCTATTTTGCGCGCGCAGTCTCCAGAGCTTCTGCAGCTAGAGCAGCGAGAAGCTGCTACTGGGGCGCAAGAAGAGCTGGGCGGGCGATAAGCCAAGCTAGTGCGCGTGCGTGGCCTGATCGCGTTTGGGCGTTTGGGGGGCCTGGGGTGGGCGGGCCTCGAAACGTATCCAGCTCGATGCAGCATTGGGCGAGGTTATAAGGGACACGGTTTGCGAGCTGGACGAGCTTGGATCGAGGAGGCTCGGGAGGAGGGAATGAGCAAGCCATGATCTTGGCGGCTTATCTAGCCGTTTGCCCCCCTCGTGTTCTCCCCGGAATGAGTGGCATCTCTGGATCGTTGAGGCCTCGAGTGAGGAGTCGAGTGGAATCGCAAAGATTATCGGCGTCAGCGACAGCAGTGTGACGTCGCGCGTGGCTTGCTTCTCAGCCACATACCCGGCCTTCTCCGCGCAGCACCTTCCTCCTTACCTCTCTTGCGCCACCACCCTCGTTGCTGTGATTGTCCTCGCTCCTCCTCCTCACCCACTTCTCCATCTACTCTCTTCTTCCAACTCATCGCTAACGATGGACAGCTCCGCCCACCTTACTCCCAACATGGCCGACTTTGTCAAGCTCTCCATCTTTGGCACCGTATTTGAGGTGACCACTCGTTATGTCGACCTTCAGCCTGTAGGCATGGGCGCCTTTGGCCTCGTATGGTGAGCTCAACAAGCGCGTCGCGCTTTAGCCTACAGAGGGAGGGAGACTGACGCCAAAGCTCGGCCAAGGACCAGCTCTCTGGCACATCGGTGGCGATCAAGAAGATCATGAAGCCCTTCTCTACCCCTGTTCTGTCCAAGCGGACGTACCGCGAGCTCAAGCTTCTCAAGCACTTGCGTCACGAGAATGTGAGTCTTGTCGCGTGTCGCGTGGGCGAGCAAGCACTGGCAGCCAAAGTCAGCTGCTAGGCAAGAGTATCTGCACATTGGCCGAGTCGCAGCTGACCAGCAACAGATCATCTCACTCTCAGACATCTTTATCTCGCCCCTCGAGGACATCTACTTCGTCACCGAGCTCCTCGGCACTGACCTCCACCGTCTCCTCACCTCGCGACCATTGGAGAAGCAGTTCATCCAGTACTTCCTGTACCAGATCCTCCGTGGTCTCAAGTACGTCCACTCGGCTGGTGTTGTCCACCGCGACCTCAAACCCTCCAACATTCTCGTCAATGAGAACTGCGACCTCAAGATTTGCGACTTTGGTCTTGCCCGTATCCAGGACCCTCAGATGACTGGATACGTCTCGACGCGCTACTACCGCGCTCCCGAGATCATGTTGACTTGGCAGAAGTATGACGTCGCAGGTGAGTTGTGGCGTCGGCCTTGGCAGACAAGTCGGTAAATCCGTGCTGACTTCTCAGTCGACATCTGGTCCACCGGCTGCATCTTCGCTGAGATGCTTGAGGGCAAGCCGCTCTTCCCCGGGAAGGACCACGTCAACCAATTCTCGATCATCACCGAGCTTCTGGGCACACCTCCCGACGATGTCATCCAGACCATCGCTAGCGAGAACGTAGGTTGTGCTTGCATCGTCCCATCCTCGGCTCTAACTCCAGACCCTTCGTTTTGTTCAGAGCCTGCCAAAGCGTGAGAAGGTGCCGTTCACGACCAAGTTCCCGAACGCCGACCCCGTCTCGCTCAACTTGCTCGAGAAGATGCTCGTCTTCGACCCGCGCACGCGTATCTCTGCCACTGACGGCCTGGCACACGAGTACCTTGCGCCGTACCACGACCCAACCGACGAGCCGGTTGCCGCCGAGGTGTTTGACTGGTCGTTCAACGACGCCGACCTTCCAGTGGACACCTGGAAGGTCATGATGTACTCTGACATTCTTGGTGAGTTGATTTGGTTGTATCTAGGTGACTGACGGCCAGACTTCCACAACCTTGGCGACATGTCGCAGAACGAGGCCGAGGGCCCTGTCACGGGTGACCTGGCCACGGCGACGGTTGCGTGATGACTTTGGACCGAGTTATAGCGATAGACATGGTTTGGGAGGGAGTGTACGAGTTCCGTAGATCCGGTTCGCCGGGAGCGTAATGCATGCAGCTGTGATCGACTGGGTAACTGAATCGCTGGTCGAGTGGAAGCGCCGGCACCACGTGGCATCCACATGTCAGGCTGGCCGATTTCGTCCTCCGACCATAAATGGACTTTGCCATCTTTACTCTCGGACTACCCCAACCACCACCCGCCCCCATGTTCTCCTTCGCCCGCCTCCTCGCCGGCCCGTCGCGACAGTGCTCGACGCACGCCCTCGCCCGCCCAATGCTCGCGGCGCCCGCGCTCGCCGCGCGCCTCGGCCCGCTCGCGCGCCCCGCGGCCGCGCCGCAAGCCCTGCGCGTCCTCGGCCAAGTGCGCGGGATGAAGGTGCGCTCGAGCATCAAGAAGTTCTGCGACGGGTGCTCGATTGTGCGCAGGTGAGTTGGGCGGGGGTTAAGGCGGTGCGGCCTGCTCAGAAGAGAGGATGTCGAGTGCGCCGAGGACTGACGGCAGGAAAGGGCGCATCTACGTCGTGTGCTCCAAGAACCCGAAGCACAAGCAGGTGAGCTGAATGTGGGAAGGGGAGTGGAGGGACTAGGACGCGGAAGGCGAGGGAGCAGAGCTGACGATAGCGCCAGGGATAGCTCCGCGGCTCGGCCATCACGCAGTAGCAGCGATGCATCCTCATACCACTTTTGACGGGCGGTTGGGTCCAAGGAGAAGAGGAGAAGGGGGATGAGTAGAAGAAGGGGAAGAGAGGTGGGATGACCCGCCCCGGCCGGATGTGGTGGTCAGAAGCACTGATGGGCGCAAGCCGCTGTGTACTGCGGCCCGCTGAGGCGCAGACCGGCACTGATTGATATGTCTCCCGGCGCGGAGGGCAGATGTGTGCGTGTCTGCCTCCAAGAGAAGAGTGGTGTGAGGGCGGGCTCCTCCTGGCCCGAAGTTGACTTGCTCGTCTCCACGAGTCCGCGCAGCGCCCGTGCTGCTCAAGCTACTATACGGCTCGTAGCCGACAATGTCTTGTCCCCCCGTTTCCGATATGATCGTTGCAGTACGCGGGGCCTGGCGCCTCTCCGTGACGGCTTGCCTTTGGCGTGCACATGGCATGTTGTCGAGCCCCGCACTGTTGTCGTCGCGTCGTCGTCTAGAGGGCTCTGCTCACGTGCTAAGCGAACGTAGATTCTAGACCCCTGCGATGATGCTGATGCTGCACCATAAGAACTGACTACTTCCACAAATGTCCGGATCGGAACCCAGTCCCAACCCCCGTCATGTCCGGCACCGGATTGCCTGTACGTCCGCCCCGCTCGTCCGCGGTCTGGTCGCCTGCACAGATGCACTCTCGCCCCGCCTCTGCCCCTAATCCCCCATGTCAGACTGAAGCCGGCAGCTTCTTGCGTTGTCACATGCCGCACCCGCTCGCTCCTCCCCAATCAGGCTCACATCCCCCCGATGTTCTTCATACTCTGCGATCTCCTACGGGTTACTGGCTACATTTACTGCTTGGGAGCAGGGGGCTGGAAGTCAAGGCCCTTCTTGATCGAGGGGCCGAGCTCGGCAACAGCCTCCTTGAGGAGAGCCTGCTCCTGCTCGTCAATGTTGCCGATGGGGAGAATGTTCTGGACACCGTCGCGGCCGAGCTCGACGTTGACCGAGAACCATTGGCAGTCGCCGCCAATCTCCTTCTTGATGCCCTCACCGCCCTCAGCGGCCGAGAGGTCAATGTACGACTGGACAACGCGCTGCTTGCCGTTGAAGGCGGCGTCAATGACCCAGCTGGCAAACTGAGCACCGGCCTGAGCCATCGAGAGGGTGGCCGAGCCGGCACCGTCCTTGGCCTTGACGACCTCGTCACCACCGAACTGGATGCGGTAGACAAGAGCGTCACGCTTCTCCTTGTCGTTAAGGATGGCGGAGGGGATCTGGGGGTCGGACTGGGTAAGGAGGGGAAGGATGGTCTTGCCAGAGTGGCCGCCAACAACGGGGATGGCGTACTTGGACGACTCCTGGGGCTTGCCAATGACCTCGGCGACGAAGGTCGAGGCACGGACAACGTCAAGGGTGGTGACACCGAAGAGGCTAGAGTGTTAGCGCGAACACAAGGCCACCCCGGCTTTCTGCTTTCGGACAAAGTGATGGGGAGGGAGCAACCGCTCGCGCGAGCAAGCCACACTTACCGCTTGGGGTCGTAGCAGCCAGCCTTGCGGAAGGTCTCGGCAAAGACGGGAACGGTCGAGTTGACGGGGTTCGAGATGACGCAGACGAACGCCTTGGGGCAAGCGTTGGCGATGGCCTGGGCAAGGGTGGCGCAGATGCCGGCGTTGACCTTGAAGAGGTCGTCACGGCTAAGATATCAGCTCGACGGCTCTTGACGGCTCTCGGCTAAATGTACTCACGTCATGCCGGGCTTGCGAGGAACACCAGCGGGGATGACGACAATGTCGGCACCGGCGAGGGCCTTCTCGGCGCCGTTGTCGGCGGGGAGGAAGCCCTTGACGGTCGCGGGGGTGTTGATGTGCGAGAGGTCAGTAGCGACCTGTCAACGTGTCAGCAGGGGTAACTCTGAAGAATCCGATGTCGGGGAGAGAGGGAAGGAACCGGTCCACCGGCTGTCGGGGGAATAGCCCGGACCCCCGAGGTCGGAATGGGGGAGTGACGTGGGAGACTTACACCGTGGGCGTTGACGACATCGTAGAGCGAGAGCTCGGTGACGGAGGGGTTGAGCTTGAGGAGAAGCGAGAGAGGCTGGCCGATACCACCTTGGGGGGGTTAGCAAGCGGTGGGGGAAGGAAGGTGGGTGGGAGAGTAAGTTGAGACTAACCGGCAGCACCGCAAACGACAGCCTTGACCATTTCTGATGTTAGCGGGGAGGGGAGGGTGGGCTAGGGGGAGGGGGATGATGGCGAGGAGGATGAGAATGATGATGAGGACGACGGATAGAGCTCACTGTCTATAGATTTGTTTGTTGGAGGGGAGGCTGAATGAGAAGATGGGAGGATGAGAGATGGATTGGGGGAGAGGGATATATCGTTAATAGGATGGAAGGTGCTGGGTTATAGTCGTGGGGGAGGAGATACAAGCGGAAGGGGGGGGGGGAAGCGGGCAATCATCCCGGTCATCCGGTCATGCCACCTCCAGGTGCGGGGAAGGTGGGGTTGCGTGGGGTCCAATCATCCGTCTCTTCCCGCATCCCGACTTGATCCCCACTTCACAATGACGTGGACCACCATCCTCCGCGCGACATGCTCCGCGTCCAACGGTCTACTTCGGTGCTTCGGCCTCACCCCCGCCTCCTCCCCCGCCATATCCGCCATATCCGTCTTGCCATTCTTCGGCCTGCCGGCGCCGCGACAACTACAGCCCCCCTGTCCGTGTGCCCATCAATCCCTACCGTGACTCAACGGACTCGTATAGTCCGTTCCGACTACTCCACGCGCTCCATGTTCCAACTCCTGTACAGTCCTACTTCGCGTGGAACTTCTTGGTCATATCACATCACTGGATGCAATAAGTCATCAATCACCACATGTGTCTCTCCCCCCCCCCCCCCCCCCCTCTCCCTACGCGCACAAAAGTCCAGCTGCATCTCTACGGGTATCCTGATGCCGGCATCAATCACAGGCGGTAATCATACACAATGCCTCTCCATCCTCCCCCCTCCCACCCCTCTTCTCGTCTACTAGTTAGTTCGCAGACGGACAATCGAAGGATGTACTGCCCGAGATCGTGGGCGCGATTGTTGCCGACAAGATTATGAGCCACAGCTTTAGGTTGTAGTCAATCGTAATCTTGCCTGCAGCCTGGTTACCCTGCAGACCGCACTTGCGCGTCAAGTCGTTGATCATGACACCGTTAGGGTCCGCCGCGGCCGTGTAACTGCTGTCAGCTACGCCATACCATATATCTCACTTGAGCGAGAGCGGGAACTCGAACGTCGACTCGGTGTAGGCGCCAAAGTCCGTCTTGCCGATAGATCCTCCGCCAAACTGGCTGTCCAGGCCGGGATACTTGATAGTAGCCTCGATTCTCTTAAAGCTCGCCCCGAACCAGTTCGGGTTCCGCACACTGATAAGCAGCTTGATGTCGAGGTTGATCTTCTTCTCGTCCAGGTTAAATTGGGCAGTCGTGGCATCGACATTGGTTTCGTTCAACGTGATGCTAGGTGGTCTGACAAACTGGGGTTAGATGCATTCACGTGGAGATCCTCGTGGCCGAGCTGCAGTTCCGAGCAGCCCAGAAGCGCCCGCGCATGCAGCAGCACAAACTCACCATAAGGATCGTGAGAATAACAGAGATAATGATCAGAATGGTGATCGTCAAGCAGCAGACGACGAGACGCCCCGTACTCCGAGCACCGCCACCCTGTTGTTAGCACGAATCCTTGACACGGCGCTCTTCGCTTCCCATCCCTCGCCAGCAGCCAGCCATATGCGCAGCACGCGCAGACTCGCCAGCGGAGTCACCATAAACCCTCAGCAGCACGCATGCCCACCCCTCGCCCCCCCCCCCATCGCGCCAACTCACCCGAGTCCACTGCTTGCCGCGCTCGTCCTTGCGCCACATGCGGAGGATGCCCGTGCTGCGCGGCGGCGGGCCCATGGCCTCAAAGCTGCTGATGGGGGGCTGACCGAGATGCGCACGACCCGGCTGCAGACGCTCCGTGCCGCCGACATTGCCGTCCACGTCGGCCGGCGTCGTCTTCTCGGCCCCATACGTGTTGTACTGCGGGTAGTACTCGCCGTCGCGGTCGTGCGGGCCCGCGGTCGGGTTCCCGCGGTCGTCGAGGTACTCTGCGCCCTGCTCGGCGTAGGGGTCACGATAGGACGCGTTGTAGTTGTGCGACATTGTGGTGGGTAGATTGAAGAGTGAGAGGCGCGTCGAGATGGATGAATGCAGTGCGCGTGAACGGGGCGATGAGGGTCCGTGCCTGGTGATTCTAGGGGAGGGATCAAATAGGGCGGCTGTGTGGCGGGGGTGGTGTGGCGGGCGGTGCAGGTGGAATGTTGCACTGCACAACAAGATATTGTGAGATATGCATTTTAATTATGACACTATGGCAAGAGGCAGTCCGCAGAATGCCACAGTGATGGGTTCAAGCAACATGTCGCATCAAGGTGGTGTTCTAGCGGCTGAAGCACTGCAGCAAAACAACAGCAGCTCACGGAGTTGTGCTGCCTGTCCGCTGCTCGACGACCTCGTTGAGCGCCAACTCTCATTAGACCGACAATTATCCTCAAGGTTTCCAACCCCGACCTGTCCATCAACTGCACTCCGCACCTGATAAACTGAGTCGCAAGCTGCAATGTCCCGAGATGATATATCCATGCACCTCCCAACGAGACCGGCGGCGCGTTGGCCGCCTCTGCACAGTCGGCGTGTTTCCCGCGCAAGCACCAAGCACCATCCCCGTACTGACTTAGCCCACATCAGGCACCGCGGAGGTCAATTAGCAGGCTGCAATAAAGCTTGGCACCACATCGGCCCGTTTCTCTCTCGGACTAGCCCTGGCATCTGCTCCGCAAATGCAAGCATATATCGATGGGCGATGGGCCGCAGCCGTCGCCGACCCCCCTGAGAATGACACCAACAACCTCTTCTTCTGAAGCGGGCGCGCCTGCCTCCGCCTCCGCCTCCGGCCCGACCTCAGCCCCCCCACCGCCCGACCACGGACACACGTACATCTTCGCGCGGCTGCGGCGCACCCTCCCCCCGCCCTCGCGGCGGCGGTTGCATGGCGTCTTGTAAGTCCCCCGCTGCCGAGCTCACACAGCGCGGCGATGATGGTCTCGATGGTGCTATGTGGGTGGACGGAGGGCTCGACGGGCCCCCTGATCCCCCGGCTGCGCGAGTACTACGGGGTAAGTGGTGCGCGGACTCCGCTCACGCAGATCAACTACCTCGTCATGTCGCTGATCTACACGACGGCGTTTGTGGGGTCGATCGCGGCGGGCCTCGCAAACGTCTGGATCACGGACCGCATCGGCTTTGGGCTTGCGTGCCCGCTCGGCGCGCTCGCGCACGTCGTGTCCTACCTCTTGTGCGGGACGGGTGCGCCGTACGCCGTCTTCTTGGTGGGGTACGCGTTCAATGGGTTTGGGTTGTCGTTGCAGGACGCGCAGGTGAATAACATTGCGTCGCGCCTCCCGAATGCCGGAACGAAGATGGCGTTCGTCCAGGCTTGCTTTGGGCTTGGGGGAACACTCGCCCCCTTCCTCTCCACCGCGTTCGCGGCGAACGTAGTCGAGGCGTGGTACTACTACTTCGTGGCTATGGGGGTGGCGATCGTCGCGTTCGTTGTTATGCTTGTCGCGTTCGACATGCGGACGGAGGAACAGCTTATTCAGCCTGAGGACTGGGAAGCGGGGGAGAGGCTGGAGACGGCGCAGGATCGCGAGCGGGCCGCCGCCGCGCAGGCGCAGGCTGCACTGAGCGAGAAGAAGAAGGAGCAGACCGAAGGCGCCGAGGCCAAGTCTGAACCGGAGCCTGAACCCGAACTAGAGATAGCCAAGAAACGCGCGACGTCCGGGCAGAAGATGAAGCGCATTTTCGCCACGCCCGCCGTCTGGGCACTTATGGGCTTCAGCTTTCTGTACATTGGCGTCGAGGTCGCCATCAGCTCCTGGATGGTGGGTTTGGGCCTCCTTGGCGTATGCTAACTGAAGACATCCTTCCTCATTGAGAAACGCGGTGGGAACGCCAACGCCGGTTACGCCGTCACGGGGTTCTGGGGAGGCATGACCGTCGGCCGCGTCGCACTCCTCCCCGTCACAAACTACCTCGGGTACCAGCCTTCGATCTATCTCTAGTGAGTAGCGTTAGTGGGCGCTACTGCCTTGTCTGTCCGCCGCTCACACCAGCTCCGCCCTCTCCCTCGCCCTTGAGCTCATCATCTGGTTCACCAACAGCCTGGTCGGCAACGGCGTGTGCTATGCCTTTGTCGGCTTCTTCCTCGGTCCCGTCTATCCCAACGCGCTCATGGTCATCGCCGAGACGCTCGACGATGACCTGCGCGGTGGCGTCATGGGTCTCATGGGCAGCATTGGGGGCGCTGGCGCCGCCGCGCTGCCCATGATGGCCGGCGGCATCGCCGACCGCTTTGGCATCTGGACGCTGCAGCCCGTTGCCGTCGCGCTCATCGCCGCATACACTGCATTGTGGGCGACCGTGCCGCGCAAGCGCATCACCTCGAGGCTCAAGGAATAGCGTCGCGGCGAGCAGTACACAGATAGAACGAGTTAGATGAACCTCATGCATATTGTGCCGGCTATGCTGTGTTATTGCTGCTGATTCCGTCTTGCTTCGCTGTCGAGGCGCTCTAGGAGTAGGCAGGGTGGCTGCTCAGATGTGAGGACGTCAACTTGTGCGCCACATATGGTTCCACTGTGCTCTACTTGGACACCTCGGCCGCCTGCCGCTCCTTGGCCTTGCGCGCCCTCTCTTCCTCTTTGAGCCTGCGCGCCTCCTTGCGCTCGTCGCGGGCCTTGCGCTTCTCGACCCCGCCGACGACAATCTTCGCGCGCGCCTCGGTAATGACGCTCTCCTTGGGCGTCCAGTGCTGGATCCACAGCCCGCGGCTCTGCTCGTCGTCCTTCCACTTCTTGGCCACGTCCGCGACGCCCTCCTCGAACATCTCGAGGATCTGCATCTTGCGCTCGTCGGGCACGCGCTGCTTCTTGCCGCCAGAGCTCGCGCGCAGCGCAAACACGATGTGCACGCGGTCGCCCTTCTTGAGCAGCTCGACGGCCGTATCGATCTTGTGCTGCACGTCGCCGTCCGCGGCGCCCCATCCCATCTGCAGCTCCTTGTCGTCGATCGCGAGGCGCTTCGACAGGCGGATCCGCTCGTCCCTCTCCCGCTCCTTGCGTTTCTCTTCGGCATTATTGACAATCTTGACTACGGGTGGGTCGGACTGCACGCAGACGACCGACTCGGTGGCCAGGTCGATCGACTCGATGATGGGCGCAAGCGGGAGGGGCTCGGACAGCTTCTTGTCTTCGCCAACCAGCTGGACAGTCTCAAAAGGGATGTCGTGGTTCCGCGTCATAATCGGGTCGATCGGGGCCGCCTCCTTCCCCCGCTGCCGGAGCTGATGTCTCCCGCGCGGCGCATCGTCCCCTTCCTCCTCCTCCTCCGCAGGCTCTTCGAAGGCTTCTTCCCGGCTGTCGGCTTCACGCATCGCGCGGGGTCGGGCGAAAGCGGCGCGCGACCCGCCGCGCCCGAATGCCGACGGGCCAGATGGCCGACGGTTCTCCTCGAGCGCAATGGCAGACGTCGAGAATCCCGCCGACGCAGGGCGAACGGCCGCCAGCGGAGCCAGGCGCGCCGCAGCGCTCGGGCCGAGGCGTGTGGAGAATGCACGCCGCAGCGTGAGGGCTGTGAGGGCGGGCATGCCGTGTGGTTGAGGGATGGTGTGAGGAGGTGGTGAGCTGGGAGAGGTATGAGCCAACGACGTCAGGCGACCACGGCGACCGAGACCGGAGATCTGGGAGGTGGCAGTTTGCAGGCACCAGCAACCTCCACCACCGCCAGCCACCGTACATCCAGCACGCGGCGATGGCAATCATTTGCACAGCGCCGCGCACATCTTCCCGACCTGTTGGCATCTTATTAACTAAGCATTCGATCATGCTGACGCAGTCGCAATCGCAGTCGCAGTCGTCCCACCCAGAACGCGTCACCGTACGATATCGGGCTCGTGACATCGGCCAGATGATGTCGCCGACTCCCGGTCCGGCGCCAGAAGCCACCATTCCGCTGTTGTCCGCGACGCGTCCACGCGCACCATCGGCGATCTGTTCTAAAGCTGGCATGGCAGCACGCCAGGTCCATGTCTGACGCGTCACGATCGACCGAGTGCAATGCATGCAGCAGCACTGGAGGAGTGGTGCCATGCCCATTGTTCGAGTGGTGGTGTTGGTGGCCACTGCATGGATCCAGGGTGGGGAACAAGGCCACTCCACGGGAGAGCCTGACACTCAACGTGGCAAACGTGGGCAGGGGTTTGTGCCTGTCCAAGCCAGGTATCGGGGGGAAGCCGGCACAAAGAGATTTTTTGGTCCCGCCGCCCGAGAGAGCCTGACGGGGCCCGGCTCATGAGGCAAGGGCCGCGGCGCCATCGTGCCACGACGCGTACAAGACGAGGCATGGGTATTGGGGCGGCAGATCGGAGAGGTGCGCAGGAGGAGAGAGGCACTGAGGGGGGCACACTAATGCTCTCTAATCTGACCCGAGGTGAGGGACAGAGGCCTGCGCCCAGGGTGGCGGCCAGCTTGGGGTGGGACGGGGTGGCACGATCATCTGTGCCAGACCCTGTGGACGTGTTTTTCCATGCCCGGTGCTCACCACACCACTTTCCAGTCCCGGCGTCCTCAGAGTTGCCTTTCTACATTTAACTGCTTTCGACGCGCACAGTCACGGCAGAGACGCCCACCTTTCTACTTATCGTCTCCTCCCCTTTCCGACCGTTTCACTCTTTAATTCCTATTCTCTAAACCAGGCCTCCCCACCCCTCGACCCCGCCCACTCTCTCTCCCCAAACGGAACTCGCGACAAGATGGCCGCCGCAGCCTACGACGTCGCGATGGACTACCTCTACAAGTACGCTCCTGGCGTCGCCGAGCACCTCGTCATCTCGAACGCTACGACGACCAAGGAGCAGCTTTACGGTGACATCGCTCTCTCCTCGCTCAACTGGTTCGAGCGTCTCTGGGCCAGCTACTACATCTACATTGGCAACGCCATCCTCGCCACCGGCCTGATGAGCTTCGTCCTCCACGAGGTGAGTCTTGATTTGCGTGTTCGGCGGCGGCGGGAGTTACAGTGGTGGCGAGATGCTCTTGGTATCGCGCGTAGCCGCCCACCCCTCTCCCCGCAGCCGCCCTTCGGGCGAACACTCCCCAGGAGTTGACATCGCGCGATGCCGAGTTGAACCGATCGCTCACACCCACACAGGTCGTCTACTTCGGGCGCTCGATTCCATGGCTCATCATTGACGCCATGCCCTTCTTCCACAAGTGGAAGCTGCAGCCCAACAAGAAGATCACCAAGGAGCAGATTTGGAAGTGCACCAAGGTCGTCCTTCTCACCCACTTCACCTGCGAGGCTCCCCTCATCTGGCTCTTCCACCCGATCTGCTGCTACTTTGGCATGGCGACGCACGAGGTGCCCTTCTCGCCCGTGTGGCTCATGGCCGCCCAGATTGCCTTCTTCTTCGTCTTCGAGGACATGTTCCACTACTGGGCGCACCGCGGCCTCCACTGGGGCCCGCTGTACAAGAACATCCACAAGCTGCACCACGAGTTCTCGGCGCCCATCGGCCTCGCGGCCGAATACGCCCACCCGCTCGAGGTCATGATCCTCGCGCAGGGCACCATCTCCGGCCCCTTCCTGTACTGCCTCTTCCGCAACGACCTGCACATCCTCACCGTCTACGTCTGGGTCACCCTCCGCCTCTTCCAGGCCGTCGACGCCCACTCGGGCTACGACTTCCCCTGGTCCCTCCGCCACTTCCTCCCCTTCTGGGCCGGCGCCGACCACCACGACTTCCACCACATGGCCTTTGTCAACTGCTACTCGACCTCGTTCCGCTGGTGGGACTACTCGCTCGGCACCGACGCAAAGTACCACGCGTACAAGGCGCGTGTTGCCGCCGCCAAGGCTACCGAGCGCGAGAAGATCCGCGAGCGCGAGCTCGAGCAGGTCGAGAAGGAGGGCCAGGAGGCCGAGCGCATCGTCGAGTCGTACGCCAAGCGTAAGACGGCGTAGTTGGTCCCTCGCCCAATCCCGACTATGCGGCGGCGGCGCGGCCGCCACGACCCCCCACACATACACACAACTTAGAAGGCGTCTGCGCTGCGGCGCACGCGCAGCGTCATCAGCCATTCGTGCTATAGAACAGCGCTTCTCCAGCACTGCATACCCCATACCATCTATATCTGCAATGTATGCGATAGTTTAGAGCCAGTGTGTGGGTTGGGAAAGTCAGACTCGCCGTACATACAATCTTTGAACACTACGAAATGACAAACTCTGGCGGCAGGGTGTATAGCCGCGTGCGCTTCAGGCTTCAATGCTCAAGGCTGCTTAGTGGGCGGAGGAATGGGGACGGGGTTGGACGGTGGGGCAAAGTTAATGGTCGGCGTCGACGGCATGGGCGACATAGGCGAGAATGGTGCGAAAGGCGGTATGCTGGGGGCCTGCATCCGGGACTGAGTGGTAAGCTTCGGTGGCGATTGAGGCGACAGCTTGGGAGGCGACTGCGGCGACAGGTGAGGGGGCGACTGCGGCGATATTTTGGGTGGAGACTGCGGCGAGATGCTGGGCGGAAGTGTGGTGGACACGGGCACGGGCGACCGGTTGACCGGGGCCGGGAGGAGAGGGGAGGCGGGGAGGCGGCCCGGCGACGCCGGTCGGAGGAGCGGGGAGACGGGGCGGAGCGACGAGAGCTTTGCGGAGAGCGAGTTTGAGAGTGCGCGCGTGTGCGTGGGCTTGTCGATGGGCTCGTATGAGATGCGGACGAAGAGGGTCGCGAAGAGGTAGCGGGAGCGCGAGTTGTCCTCGAGAGGCAGGTAGCGGAATCCGCGGCCGGCGGTAGTGAGCGGGCGGCACCACTGAGCGATGGTGCCGCGCGAGCCCTTGATGGCGAGCTTGACGAAGACTAGCGAGAGGCACGAAGGGAGAGACGAGACGGTGAACTCGAGCGTCTGGTCCCAGCGCGGGCTCAGGCTGCCCTCCTTCAGCTCGCGCGTTTCCTGCTCGTCGTCCCCAATCGTCGCCTCGACGTACATTTCGTCTGTGGGCGGCAGGCGCTGCGCAGATATGATGCGAATGCGCACGCGATACTCGACCGACACCTCGGCCGTCTTCTGCCGGAGCGCGAGCGGCTTGAGTACGTACCCACCGTCGTGGAACATGGCGTGGTTCCACAGACTACCTTCGTCAAAGGTCTGGTAGTTGATCGCGACCATCTGCGCGCCAATTTGCCAGAACGGGCGTGGGTCAAAGTTGGAGGACGTCAGCCGTACCGCCTTGGGGTACACGCGCGACAGGTGGCTGAAGTTGTGCTTGACCCAGTCGGCCTGCTGCCCGTCCCTAAGAATCTTCTGTGCCGTTCGCTCCGACACCGAAAACATGTGGTTTGACTCGTAGGTGACAAGCTTGGAGAAGCCCTGGTACTTGACACCGGCCGTGTAGATAGGCAGATCAGATAGTGATCTATGGATGCCAATCTTGGGCGACTTGGGTTTCTCCCCGCCCGCAAGCGTCAGGCGCTTCGCGAGCTTGACAAATGACGAGTCCGACTCAGTGGTCGTCGAGTCTGACAGCGAGTCAGAAGTTGGGGACGATGACAGCGTCACGGATCTGACGGGTGTGGGCTGCACCGCCGCCTTCGACTTGACGAGCACTCGGCCCTTCAAGTCTTCGGGACTTGGGATGCCATCGATGTAGTCGAGCGGCTCAGTGACCAGCAGATCGCCGAAGACGTCCTTGATGGTCTTGGCGAGGCGTTCTTGCTGCGGGACTGAGCATCGCACTTCCAGCGAGAGGATGACAGGGTACGGCGAGGCGACGAAGGCGTACTTCTTGATCGCCTGACACACATCGAGAATCGGTACACTCGATGTCATTGTATTCCCATGATACACGACGGGTTCGGTCTCGCCGTTGTGTACGTCAACTGTTTTGTTAGTTCGGACCTTCGCTGCGACGCACTCTCAACCGAGCGGCAGCCGTCCAGCAGCACGCGGATGTAACCCTCGACTGTACTGTCGCCGCGCCACTGCCCGGCAACGAGGTACGTGTTATGACTGCTGGCGATAAAGTATTCGGGCAAGGGGTGGCCGAGGTCCTGTACGGCCTTGGGAACATTGTCGGGCGAGGCCAGGTATGAGGATAGTGCCTCGGATGTCCATAGGTCCGTTTTGGCATCCGCGAATCGATCGTAGAGGAGATTGAACTGTTCGTCCGTGAGCTCCTCCTTCTGCACATCGCGGAGAAACTCGCGAGCCTTGTCGCGCGTCATGTCGCCGCCGAGAGCCTGGAACAGCTCCCCTAGCTCGGGGCGCGTCTGGACCTCACGAACCAGGCGCCGGAAATTTCCCATGTCGAGTGGAAACTTGTCTCAGCAATCTATCTCATGTGCAGGCACTTGCCTGGTAGTTTGCGAGGTGGGTTGGACCAACGCTGAGCCCCAACGAGTGGCACAGGCTCGTGGCCGTGCGCGCGTCGATCTTGGTTGCGCCTGTCGGCCACAGTTGCTTAATGAAGAGCAAATCTGGGTCGGCTGCGGGGCCATGTTGCATCCCACTGACGACACGATCAGACGCGGCGCTCACGAGATCATTGAGCGTGTCGCTCCAAAGCGCGTAGATGTCGTCCGTATGCGCGATAAAGTGCACCACCTTCCACTGCTTGTCTCTAACGTACACGATGGTGATCCAGCGCGCCCCGTCATACTGGTCTGTCGGCGAGACACCAAGCCGCAGCTCGCGAATGTTGCGGATCTCGACTGCGGTTAGAATGCTTGAATGAAGACGAAATACTCACCCTTTCCGCCTTTGAGCGAGGGCCAGGTAATGGTCGTCGGTGAGAGGGTGACAATGACGGGCTTGATCTTCTTGGACGACACCTTGAGCATGGGCACGCCGCTGGTGAGCTGCGGCGGGAGCTCGGCTGCACCAGACTCGCCTGCCATGTCGAACGAAGGCTTGACTGGGGCTGAGATGGGAGACGTCGAGATGGGCAAGAGCGAGAGGTGTGAGAGAGTTGGAAGCGAACTGGATGTATGTGACGCGGACAGGTGCGGTGGAGGCCCTTCGTGGCGTTCAGGGACATGCCAAGGGCGGAAGGCTGTGCCGAACCGAAAACGCGGATTGATCGACATTTTGGATGGAGAGATCGCCGCCGTCATCTCCGCCACACTCACCAGCCTCAACTTTGATCATTCAAATCACTCAATCATCATCAGCACATGCCGCGGTCTCGTGGCCTCGCCGCGCCATGGCTCTGGGTGTTCTGGTCAGCAGGCTCTCTCCCGAACACGCGCGTGATATTTCGCTTCCACTTACTTCCCATCACGCGCTGGCTGGTGGCTTATCTCAACCCCTCAAGCCACGATGATGAAGTGCGAAACCGACACCGCCGCCCATTCCGCTTCCGCCTGGGCGCCCCCGCGCTCGCAAGTACGCTCCTGTGCACACCGCGTCAAGTGGTTCGCACCGGCGCCATGGCGCCCCATACAAATTGGCCCACTCATACGCATGCACATCAGCCATAAGCTGGGCCGGCGCACAGGCTCGGCGTTTTTACCACGCGGTGGGAGGGAGAGGGGAGGGCACGGGGCGCTGGCCAGACTGTAGTGTCTGCCAAGAGGCAGCCACATTCCGTGTCACCTCTTGTACCGGGCGGGTCATGGCAAGACTGGTGTTCAGGTTGACGTTGTAAAACTTGTCTCGCAGTGGTCCGACGACGCCGAAGACAGCTGCCGCCATGGCTCCGGCGTCGCCCCTTTTGACCAGCAGCTTACTTACGCTCAAACTACCGCTAACGCTTACCTCACGGTCTCTAATCAGAGCTCTCGTCCTCCGCCCGACCTACAGCCGCTGCTGCCATCGCCCTCCGACCCCATTGCTGTTCCCCTCGCTGCGACGCGTGACCTGGCGAAACCATACAGCAGGATTGGCCGAGTGCTCGGGACGCGACTTGTCTACCCCAGGTGACTCACCACTGGTTCTCCAACCATCGTCGCGGAGCAGCGAGCTCCCCCGCATCTCGCCCTCGGTCGAGCTGCTCTCTCCACTACCACCACCACCGAGCGCATCGCGCACTGTGCGCTCTTGGGCGACCTATAAACTCGCAGCTCGCAGCTCTGTCGGGCGTTTATCTTCAGCACCACTGTCGCAGCCATGTCGTTCCCCGCACTCGTCCCCTTCATTGACGGCAACAAGGCCTGGGTTGCCGCCACCACCGCCGCCACCCCCGAGCTCCTCCCCAAGCTCGCGGAGGGCCAGGCACCCCCCGTGCTCTGGTTCGGCTGTGCCGACTCGCGCATCCCCGAGACTTCGATCTGTGGCGCCAAGCCCGGAGACATCTTCGTCCACGTACGTTTGCTGGCCCCAGTTGGCCCGGTGGCGACCCGGGGGGCGCCCCATTCCTTGCTGGCACGCTAACAGCAGCGCAACGTTGCCAACCAGTTCCACGGTGACGATGTTTCGGCGAACGCTGTGCTCAACTACGCCGTTCTCCACCTTGGGGTGACGCACGTTGTCGTCGTCGGCCACACCGCATGTGGCGGGTGCAAGGCGGCGTTCGGCTCGGCCGCGCCCGCCGCCGACGCTCCCGTCCCCGAACACCCCCTCCTGGCCTGGCTTGACCCCCTCATCAAGCTCCGCCACTCGCTCCCCGAGGGCGCGACGCTCGACGACCTCATGCGCGAGAACGTCCGTGCCGGCGTCAAGAGCCTCGCTGCGTCCTCCGTGCGTTTACTCTTGTTTCGCTTCCGCATCCAGCCGAGCTGACGCCAGACCATGACAGAGGCGTGGAGCCTCGGCAAGCAGGTCTACATCCACGGGTGGGTGTACGACCTCGCCTCGGGTCTCCTCTCGGACCTTGACATGTCCCTTGGTCCGCAGTAGACCAGCAGAAAAATAGAACCCAGTAGAGCTGTGGCCTGGCCATTTAGACGACGCCTTGCCGAGGCCAGTGCGGGCGAGATCTGGTGCCCGGCAGCGCCGAGAGGTGTAGAGCTGTAGAGGGAGGGCGGGCAACGGAGACGAGGGTGAGGTATGCATCTCCTGTTGCTGCAGTTTGACAAGGGTCCATGACCATGGTCCAAGTGCGCCTGTTGGAGTCAGCCTGCTGGGTGCACGAGCGTCGGCGCTATCGTTCATGATCGCCGAGGTGTGGCTGATGGCATCGGAGCGTCGGCCCTGATCGGTCAATCTTGTCTTGTTGTTTGTCGTTTCACAAACCCTCTCGTCGCTAACGTCCCATGCGCTCAGGCCGCCCTTCGTCCCGCCTCTCGCCCGCCGCCAAGACTTTGCCTGCCCAAGACGACAACATGTGCGCCTGGCGTGCCCTCCCGACGGGCATCGCTGTGCGCGTGCGTGCGACCCCGCGCTCAAGCACAAATGCCGTGCGCGGCCTCGTCGAACTCCCGGGTGAGGGCACGGCTGTGGCTATCGCGACAACGGCGCCGCCCGCGGACGGCGCAGCGAACAAGAGCATTACAGCGATTCTCGCCAAGGCGCTCGGCGTGTCCAAAGGCAGCGTGCGCGTCGTTGCAGGTGCAACAGGACGCGTGAAGCGAGTTGACGTCGACGGCAACGCGGAGGCTTTAGCAGCAAAGTTGGAAGAACTCTGCCGCTAGCTGGGCTAGCTGGTGTCAGCCGCTCTCCGCGTCTCCGCCTGCTTTGCTCCGCTCCCTCCAAGCTCTCCAGACTTGAACAGCGGCGCGACCGGCCCCGGAGACCAAGACATGACAGACAAAGCCCAGCGTATAGCATGAAGCACGCGCTCTCGCGTGCGATTCCGGATAAACTGCGGCATGCGGGGACCCCGGAAAACGCCAGATGAACAATAGAAGACGCCTCTTCGAGAGGTCCCACGCACGCCCGAAGCACTCTCTCTCGTGCTCTCAAGCTCCCCACCATGACCATGGGACGCCGGCTACTAGCCCTCTCCGTCGTAGTCGTCTCCCTCACTCTCATGTTCCACTTCTCCTCCCTTCAATCAACATTATCCACCTCGCTCTCCCGCATGATGTCCTCCTCCTCATCGCCCGCTTCTCGTGTGATTGTCGTCGGCTCGGGCCTTGCAGGACTGTCCGCCGCCCATGCCGCGCTTCAACGCGGCGTTCCCGTCCACCTCCTCGACCGCGCGCCCAAGCCCGGCGGTAACAGCATCAAAGCGAGCTCGGGCATCAACGGCGCCGGCACCCCCGCCCAAGCCGCGGCAGGCATTTCCGACTCGCCCGCAGCATTCGCCGAGGACACAGTCAAGAGCGCGGGGGAGCGCTACCGCGCGCCCGAGCAGATCGTCGACCGCGCCGCGCTCATCCGCAAGCTCTCCGCCGAGAGCGCCGGCGCCGTTGGGTGGCTCGTAGACGACATCGGTGTGGACCTCAGCGTCGTCGCCGTGCTGGGCGGGCACAGCGTGCCCCGCACCCACCGGGGCGGGGGCAAGCTGCCGCCGGGCGCTGCCATCGTCATGGGACTCCTGAACAAGCTCAAAGAGCACCCGAACTTCACCCTCTCCTCCGGCGCCGAGGTCACAAACCTCAAGGTGGACGGCGGGGCCGTCAAGGGCGTGAAGTACACGCACGCCGGCGAAACCGCGGAGCTCGACGGCGCCGTAGTCTTCGCGGCCGGCGGATTCGCAGGCGACCGCGCGCTGCTCGCCAAGCACCGCCCCGATCTCGCAGGCATGCCGAGCACGAACGACGAGCGGCCGGGCGCGCACGCGCTGCTGGCCAACCTCGGCGTGCCCCTCCTCGACATGGACAGAGTGCAGGTGCACCCCACGGGCTTCGTGGACCCGGCGAACGTGACGGCGCCCATCAAGTTCCTCGCGGGCGAGATGCTGCGGGGCGAGGGCGGCATCCTCCTCGGCCCGGACGGGAAGCGGTTCGTGAACGAGCTCGGGACACGGGCGAAGGTGTCGGGCGCGATCATGGGTCGCGAGCCCGACGCGAGCGACGACGGCACGAAGCAGTGGGCGACGACGATCCTCCTCGACCCCGGGGCGAGCGAGGCCGCCAAGTTTCACATCGGGTTCTACGCGTTCAAAGGCTTGCTGCGCAAGGTGCGCGTGTCCGAGCTCGACGCCGCCGTGCGCGCCAGCGTGGACGCGTACGCTGCGGCGGTGCATGGCGGCGCGGCGGATCCCTTCGGGCGCAAGAGCTTTGGCAAGTGGAGCTACAAGCCCGGCGACGACGCCGAAGTCTACATCGGGCAGGTGACGCCCGTGACGCACTTCACGATGGGCGGAGCGGCGATCGACACGGGCGCGCGCGTGCTCCGCAAGGACGGCGCGGAGATGGTGCCCGTGCCTGGTATTTGGGCGGCGGGCGAGATCACTGGCGGCGTGCACGGCGACAACCGCCTCGGCGGGAGCAGTCTGCTCGAGTGCGTTGTGTACGGGCGCACGGCGGGCGCGGCGGCCGCCGCGGGCGTCAAGGCGTAGCCCTGTAGAACGACGGCAATCAGCAGTGTGTAGCGCAGCATGTGTATGGAAGCTTCTATGTGTCCGAGCAGGCAATTATGTGGTATCTGCTGCATGGGGAATCTGCTCGCCCGACTGACTTCAACCTCAAACAGGACTGCACTATGAACACCGACTTGCAACTATACAAATTTCCAGTCAAACTCGGAACGCGCGACCTCTGGCGCGCCAAGCTTGCGCCAGTTCTCGAGGAATGCGTCACGGCGCGTCTTGGACACGGAGAGGAGGGTGGGCCAGTATGTCGCGTGGTCGTACGTGAACTGGATGTCAGATAGTTCTCGTACTGCACTCACGTCTAGCGCGCCGCCACACTCCTTGATCAATCCGTCGGCCTGGAACAGGCCCTCTGCGACCGCCTGCTCGCCCGTCTTGGTGATGGTGCGCTCCTTGGCCTCGCCGATAAACGGCCATACCATATTCACGAACGCGCGCATCGCCCACCCCATGTCCTGCAGCATCGTCAAGCTGGGCTGGAGGGGGTAGTGGGCGTCGTACACGCCGAGCATCTCCTTGGTCTGCCCGAGGCCGGGCTTGGGCCCCATCTGCTTGCCGCCAAAGTTGAAGACGGTGCAGACCTCCTGGGCGCCCGCGGGCGTCAGGTCCATCATGCGCTCGAGGAGGAAGAGGTTGTGCACCATGTCCCGCTCTTCGAGCGGCAGCGGGTTGCGGTTCATGAACACGTAGTTGACGGGCCGCAGGCCGTTCCAGCCTGCCGTGAAGCGCGTGGCGTTGCGTGTGTCCTTTTCCGCGATGGCCGCGGTCGCGTCCACGTCGTAGAGGTTGAGTTGGCGGCGGAAGGCGAGCGTCGCCTCGAGGCGCGCGATCGCCGCGTCCGTGTCGCCCTTCGTCGCTGGATTTAGCGGAGGACGACGTCGCGCCGGCATGGTACTGGCAGTCGCCAACGCGCTGGAGGAGGCGGGCGCAACATCTACTCACCTCGGAGGTAGCGCAGCAGGGTCTCCTGCGACTGCGGGTCAGCGCGCCCCCACGCGCACGTACGAGCCACATCTTCTCGCGCTCGCCGAGCTCGGTGCACTCGATCTTGTAGTCTGCAAAGTGCTTCTTGAAGGCGTCGAGGGCGGCCGTCTGCTCTGCCGTGACCTCTGGGCGCGGCGGCGCGGCCGGGGCAGCGAGCATCTTCTCGATCTCAGCAGCGGTCTTGGACATGGTGTATTCTGTACGTGTGGGGACTGCATCGGCTGGGCGCCAGCAGCGACTTATGTACCCCGCCGCAGACTACTCGGCGTCTAAATGACCGGCGAGGGCCGCCGCGGAATGCCGGGCCCCACGCGCTGACCTTGGCGTCCAGGCCAGGCAAGGCAAGGCGATTGCTACCCGCGCGGCGCGCTAGGCCAGGGTCGGAGGCCTGCCGGTGCCGGTGTGTCTGGCATTGAGGCGTATGGGCACATGCTCATGGGCAACATGGCTGGCTAGCATGGGCGAGGCTTGTCGTGGTGTCACGAGGCAGGAGGAAAGAATGCTTGTCGCATGCGGCACTTCGGCTACCGGCTTCCGGCTTATCTCGAGCTGTCAGGCTGATGGACGTAAAAGATTGTTGAGACGCGGCGACTTCATGGCCGGGTGTTAGTGCCCCCCTGTTCCACTTTAGTACTGCAGTAGATCAGCTCGCTGAACGCCTGAGGCAGCTGAGGTGAGCTAGCTGTGAATGCGAGACAGTACGCGGCGACTCTCCGTGCCATCGCCACCAGTCTCAACCCTGCAGTGCACGTCCACAGTGAGTGGTGAGGAGTTCATGTATGGTGGTGAGCGATCGATCGCCCAATTGCCCTTACGTCATGGCCATTATTTGGCCCACCGTTCCGCCGCGTCGACAAAAAGTCCATGACAATTCACACTCTACCACGACTCAACCATCATGCCGACGCGGCGGGGCAAGAGGACGCACAAGAAGCGCGCTCAATTGGATGACGCGCACGCGCACGTCGTGCACAATGAAGACGACGAAACGGTGGCTGGGCCAAGCATCCCTCGTATCCTTGTCCCGACTGAGGACGCGGAGCCGGACGAGCCGGACGAGACGCCCGTGTCGTCTGTACCGCCCTCGGGAGACACGTCGGCCGCGTCCAGCACCCTCCACACGCCGCTGGGCACGCCCATGCCCGTGACGGAGGGGAGCACGGCGGTGGAGACCCCGCGGAATCTGCGGCAGCGGTTTGCGGAGATGACGCGCGAGATTGGCAAGGCGGGGGAGGAGCTGAGTGTGCGGATTCGGCGCAAGGTGAGTCTGCGCGGGGGAGGAGTAGCATGATGGAGATTCCAGGATAGAGGAGTCGCCGCCTCCGCCGCAGCTCACCCCAGGCCGACGGAAACTTCAAGGTCCTCGCACCTGGCACGCCGTACGACGAGCTCGAGCTCCACGACATAGACCACCCGATGCACAAGAAGCGGCGCCGGCACCGGCGGGACGAGGGGTGGACGAAGTGGTTCGTAGGCCGCAGGGTGCTGTTCCCAGTGTAAGTTTGAGTCGGGGGTGGAGCTGATGCCAGCGCATTCGCACTTGGCATGGCCGCCGTGTGGACCGCCACGCAGCCGGAACTGCTTGGCGGAGAGCTCACGGACCTGTGGCCGATGCTGCAGAGCGACATGAGCAACTTTCTCGGAAACATGTCGATGTTGGATTGTGAGTGCATGGGGAGGTACCGAATGGCACGGCGAGGTGGCAGTATTGATCGGCGGCTTCAAAGGGATTGTGCCGCAAGAGATACTAAACGCAGCTGCCAAAAAGGCCATTTTCGAGTCGCGCGACTTCTCCGTCGGCGACATTCTCTCGCACGAGCTCGGCCTCGAGGCCAAACACCCCGTCATAATGATGCCGGGCGTGGTGACGTCGGGCCTGGAGAGCTGGAGCACGGAGCCGATAGCGCGGCCATGGTTCCGGTCGCGGCTGTGGGGGACGAGCACGATGATCCGTGCCGTCCTGACGGACAAGGAGCGGTGGGTGGAGGCGATGGGGATCGACCTCGAGACGGGGCTCGACCCGCCGGGGCACCGGGTGCGTGCCGCGCAAGGACTGGACGCGGCGAGCGAGTTCATCCAAGGCTACTGGGTGTGGCAGAAGGTAGTGCAGAACCTCGCGACGATCGGGTACGACACGAACACGATGGACATGGCGGCGTACGACTGGCGCGTCGCGTACTACAACCTCGAGGTGCGGGATGCGTACCTCTCGCGCCTGAAGGCGCGGATCGAGCTCATGCACAAGCTCTCGGGCCACAAAGTGGTGCTGGCGTCGCACTCGATGGGGGGCTCGCTCATGCTCTACTTCCTCAAGTGGGTCGAGGCGGAGCCGGACGCGCTCGGCTTTGGTGGCGGCGGCGGGCCGCGATGGGTCGAAGACCACCTCGAAGCATGGGTGAATATCGCCGGCACGCTCCTCGGCGTGCCAAAGGCCATGACGGCGTTCATGAGCGGCGAGATGCGCGACACGGTCGAGATCAACCCCCTCGGGTCGTATGTCCTCGAAAAGTTCTTCAGCCGGAAGGAGCGCGCCGAGCTCTTCCGCCGCTGGCCCGGCGCCAGCTCGATGTACATGAAGGGCGGGAACCGGATCTGGGGCGATCTGGACGGGGCGCCCGACGACCCGCCGAACGCGACGGACACGTACGGCCGCTTCTTCTCGTTCCGGCGCACAGCGTCGACGAAGGAGGAGGACATGGACCGCACGAACATTTTCCCCAACCTCACGGTCGAGGAGACGGTGCCGTACGTCCTGGACCACACGAGCGGCGCGTACCAGCGCATGTTTGCTAGTAATTACAGCGTCGGGTTCGAGACGGACCCGAAGCAGCTGCGCAAAAATGCCAAAGATCACACCAAGTGGACGAACCCGCTCGAGGTCGAGCTTCCGCGGGCGCCCAGCATGAAGATCTACTGTCTGTACGGGCACGGCAAAGAGACTGAGGTGGGTGCAAGTTGCCTTCTGAAGCTGACAGCAGCGCGCGTACTGGTACGTTAAAGGGGAGTATGAAGAAGGCGAGGGCCGCGATGCGCTCGGCACGCAGTGCGACGCCGAAGACGACATGTGCGAGCGCACGCCCGGCGACTTCCCGCTCATGCGGAACCACCGGATCGATAACGACGTAACGCTCAAACACGCGCTGCCGGAAGTACGCTCGGGCGTCAAGTTCAGCGACGGGGACGGGACGATCGCGACGGCGAGCCTGGGCGCAATGTGCGTACGCGGCTGGCGCGGCCGCACGCGCTGGAACCCAGCGGGCATCGAGGTCGTGACGCGCGGTGCGTGGGATACGTGGGGTGCGGGGTGGGCTGACGGGCAGAGTTCTTGCACCAGCCGGACGCGCTGGACCTGCGCGGGGGCGCTGGGACGGCGGACCATGTGGATATTTTGGGGAGCGCGCCGCTCAACGACGCGATCCTCAAGATCGCGGGCGGGCGGGGCGACCTCGTCGAGCCGCATATTGGGAGCGAGATTGAGCGGTACGTCGAGCGGATGCGGTGGGATTAGGCATGTGTGAATGCATGGGTGGGTGAGTGCCACAAGATGAGCTTAAGCGGATTATGCATTATTATGCGTGGTAGAGTGGAGGATGGTGGGAGGGATCCGGTGCCTTGCGAGGGGATGCTTGACGACAGATGCTCGACGGGCGTTTCAGTCGTGGGAGCCGATCAAAACATTGCGAGAGGTGGAAGCGACGACCACAGAGCATCTGTGACTGTTTTGCTCCGGCGGATGCGATTACGACTCCACTAATCCAAGGACATGCATGTACAGTAGGATGGGATGAGCCGGGAGCTGTGTTTTGGGGTGCTACTGGATGACGGCGCAGAAGCTCTCCACCTGCCTCGACAAGTTCCCGGCGCCTCGCTTCGATTGGGGGTTTGTCCCACGCCCATCTCACGCCTCCAGGTCGGTAGAGCCTAGCAAGACCAGCCACAGTCGCCAAGCAGCGCAGTAGGCTACGTAGTACGCAGCAAAACAGCTCGGCGCCTCGGCGCATGTCATGGCCGTCCCCGGACCTCGGAAGCATCACGGCTTCACGGCCCGAGATGAGGTATGCAGGGTGTGTAATGGTGGTAATGGCTGGCAGCTGCGAGATCCCACGCCACGTATGTTGCCACGCTGCGTGGACAGTAGATGTTCAGCTGACTGGAGACAGAGTCTGAGCAACGACACACGAGGTCCATATATGGACATGACCCATGCAGGGACGCCGGGCATCACATCACGTGGGAGGGAGAGCCAGCCATCAGCCATCATTTGAAGGGTTTCGGACAGGCGGAGAAAGAGACGATGGACGGAGCGCCAAGTAAGCGAGGGTGAGGGTCGAGCGACGAGCGACGAGCGCTCTCTCCTTTCTCCGTCCGTCCCTCCACCGTCTCCGACTCCGACGGACGTGCGCGGCGTCGTTGTGCGGGACCCCGCTGCATCGAACATGCGCTTTGGATTGGCCCCCCCGCCCCGCTCCGGCACCGCGGTGCGTGCCTCCCACATCCTGCAGGACGCACCGGGTGTGCCTGCAGGATTGGGGCATGCATCGCAGCATGGGCAGAGCCAAGGCTTGGAGATGCTGGGGGGCAAAGTCTTGCTCTGGCGGCATGCCGTAGTATAGCTGTGCGGTGGCGCCGCGATTGCGTTGCCTCATGCCTCATGCCGTTGGATCAGAGGAGCTGGAGGAGGGATGAACTGCTTGCTCTTGCCACCTGAGACTAATAGTCTGCCCGCTTGGTCTATCGCCTGACCGCCTGACCACCCGCCGCCTGATCTGTTCACTTTCTCACCCGAACATCCGTCACGCAGCGACGCCACTGCTTGGGGGAGAGAAAGGAGATCCCGTCATTAGTGGAGGTCACATGCGGGTGGGGGGTGGAGAGAATAGAATAGAATAGATTGTGTCGGCCATCTTGCATGGCTTGGAGCTCGATCTCGAGAGTTGTTGGAGTAAACAAACGCGCAAACAAGCATGTATGAAGAATGAATGACGAGGAGGATTAGGAGGGGGAGGATGTTTGCATGTGCCAAGAACAAGACAAGGACGAGGGCGCAGAGGGCGCAGAGGGCGCAGAGGGCGCAGAGGGCGCAGGGGGAGGGCGCAGGGGGATGATAATCCGGGGTAAAGTGGGAGATGGGTAACCCTGAGTCTCCGCTGACCCCTTGCATCCTGGGACAAGCCCCGTGCGGTGTCGTGCGTGTCAGGAAACGGAAGCAGGGAGGGAGGGAGACGCAGGTCGGATAGCGGGAGATTGTTTGCACAGCCCGTCCCAGCCGCTGAGGCGCTGTGCTGCATGAGAGAGAGAGACGTATTGCAGGCACCGACCTGTAACAGTTGCTGTGGAAGGAGAGAGAGAGAGAGAGCGAGGACGGTAGAAAGGCTTGGCTGGGAGAGTAGATGCTTGGCTGGGTGGACTGTTCGCTGGACCCTGCTGCTCCGTTCCTGGGGTTCCTGTTTCTAAAGCCTCGGGTGATGTGCCGTGGGGCGGTGGTACACAGCAAACATGCTCCCTTCAATCCCGCCGTTCTCATCATCAACTCTCTTCTCTTCTCTTCTCTTCATCAACATCTCTCTCTCTCTCTCTCTTCTTTACATCTCTCTCTCTCTCTCTTCACTTTCTCTTCTTCTTCGTGTCTCCATCCCCTCCTCTCCCTCCTCTCCCTCCTCCCCCTCCCCCTCCCCTTCTGTCGATCTCGCCAGACGACTCCCTCCCCCACGAGTATCCCGGCCTTGCTCTTGCACCATCGTCGTCGTCGTCTTGCGCATACCCCCTCCTCTTCAACTCTTTCTCAACAGCACGCACGCACAC